AAAGAGCTGTTCCCTCCGATCCCAAGCCCTCCGCCCATTCGCCGGACCAACCTTCCCTTCAACCTGCTCCTTAACACCAATCCCTACATCATCCCGTTGATGCTGGAGGATGGCCTGGGCAGCGAATGCAGCTCTTCCAGCCGGGAGAGCAGCTCCAGCGACGCCCACACCTACGGCGTCCGGGGTCAAAGGTAAGCAAGCGGCCCAGAAGCAGGGGGGGAAAAGGACGGAAGGTTACCTGGCCACTGGGTCCCCAGGGAGCAACAACGATCCATCCCCTGGAAAGAAAAATTACATCCCATTGCTTCCAGCTCTCGTCTGTGGGATTCCAGACCCAAATGGGTCACAGGCAGGGGTGGGAGGCTACCGGTTCGTACCGGTTTGATCGAACTGGATGTTAATTTCACATCTCGTTCACCGAACCGGTAGTTGCGATGACTGGCTGGCCATGCCCACCACGCCCCTCCCAGGAGGCTCCATTTTGGATCCCAGATAACTCCAGGGTCCATGCGGAGGCTCGGGGAGGGCGAAATAGGGGCCTCCCAGAGGCTCCGGAAGGCTGGAAAGGGTCCCGTTTGTGGCCTCCAGAGAGCCTCCGGGGTGGGGGAAAATGGGCCTCCTGGGAGGCTCCAGAAGGCCGGAAACAGGCCTGTTTTCAGCCTTCTGGAACTTAACAGGAGTCCCATTTCCAGCCTCCAGAGAGCCTCCGGGTTGGTGGGAAATGGGCCTTACAGAGGCTCAAGGAAAGTCTCTGGAGCCTAGGGAGGGGCAAAATGGGCCTCCTGGAGGATCCAGAAGTTTCCGGCCTTTCGGAGCTTCCGGGAGGCCCATTTTCAGCCTCCAGAGAGTCTCTGGAGTCCGGGGAGGGCAAAAATGACCCCCACACACACTATGGTGCAGGATGCCGACTATGCCACGCCCACCATGGCCACGCCCACCCAGCTACTGGGTAGAGAACCAGTTGCTAAATTATTTGAAGCCCACCCCTGGTCACAGGACTTTTCTCATCTAAAAGGTGCATCAGGCAGTCTGCAGTACAGATAGTTCTCAACTTATGACCCCTGTCAAGAGGGGTTATAAAATCAAATGCGGCCACATGGTACCCCATTTAACAAGCAGTCTGATGAAGTGAACTTTGCCCCATTGGATGTCCTTTCTGGCCACAGTTGTTAAGCGAATCATTGCAGTTGTTAAGTTAGTCATGCAGTTATTAAGCGAATCTGGCTTCCCCGTTGACTTGGCCCATCCGAAAGTCCCAAAATGGTCACATGAGCTCAGGACATGGCGACCGTCGTAAAGGCATGACAGTTCCTCTGCGTCCGAATTTTGATCACGTGACCCTGGGGATGGTCATATAAGTGTGACAAAAGCTAAGTCGGTGGGGAAGCCAGATTCACTTACCAGCAGTGGCAAGAAAGGTCGTACAATGGAACAAAGCTCACTGAATGAATGTCTCAGTCAACAACATAAATTTGGGGCTCCTACGTCACTCTTTTTCAGTCTGTTGTACTTTTGAACAGTCGCTCAACCAATGGTTGTAAGTTGAGAACTTACCTGCATAAGAGAGTTTCTTTGGAATAACCTCAGTAGTGTTATATGATGACACAAGGCCGGAGGGTCAAACTAGATTTCATTGAGGGCCATATCAGGACTGTGTTTGACCTGAGGGGGCTGGGGTGGATGTGGCCGGGATGGGCGTGGCTAGGGTGGGTTTGGCCAGCTCAATGTCACTTGTGTTAGGGGGCATCTGTGGTGGCCAAATGCTAAGGCAGGACTTCCTTCCTTCCTTTTCTTCTTTTTCCTTCCCTCTTCTCCTTTCTTCTTCCTTCCCAACTTTCCTTCTTTTACCTTCTTTGCTCCCTTCCCCTCTTCCCCTCTTCCCTGTTTTTCTTCATCTTTCCCTTTCTTCTTTCCTTACTTCCTTTTCTTCTTTTTCTTTCCTTCTTCATTCTCCTTCCTTCCTTCCTTCCCCTCTTTCCCTATTTTTCCTTTCTTGCTCCCTTCCCCCTTCCCTTCTTTTTCTTCATCTTTCCTCTTTCCCTTTTCTTCTTTTTCCTTCTTTCTTCATTCTCCTTCCTTCCTTCTACTTTCCTTATTTTTCCTTCCTTGCCCACTTCCCCTCTTCCCTTCTTTTTCTGTCTTTCCTCTTTCCCTTTCTTTCCTTACTTTTCTTCTTTTTCTCTCCTTCTTCATTCTCCTTCCTTCCTTCTTACCCTCCCCTCTTCCCTTCTTTTTTGTCTTTCCTCTTTCCCTTTCTTCTTTCCTTACTTCCTTCTTCCTTCCTATTTTCCTTCCTTCCTTCCCCCTTCCTTGTTTTTCATTCCCTGTTCTCTTCCCTTCTTTTTCTTTATTTTTCCTCTCTCCCTTTCTCCTTTCCTGTCCCTTCTTGCAGGTTCAAATGCAAAAGGGGAAACATTTCTCCTTTTGTTTTTAGTTTGTTTTGTTAGCCCTCTGCCTGTGAAAACGAAGCCTATGGGGGCTGCGCACGACCCCTCCAGACCCCATTTTCGCTGGCAGAGGCACCACGGTCCAGTCCTTTGCTGTTTCCAGGGTGGCTCTGCAGGCCTTTTAAGTTTGACACCCCAGATATAAGGACTCGTCAATAGTCCTGCTTCTAAACAACAACCGGTGAATTTCTTTCTTTCTTCTACCTGAGCACCAGTTCACCTGTGGACTGCAATTACCCTGAACAACTGGAGTCTACAAGCAACCTTGAAGCCTCCTGTTTCCACCCAAACAGCCATCCTGGTGTGCATCAGCATGACCAGTATCCCCAACACGAGACGTCTCACTTCCCAATCCATCTTTCTGGCAACGCCTTGCCTAGTGTCCGACTCACAACAGCGATACCCAGTAAGTCCACCACATTTTTCTCGCTCCCTGGCAGCAATGGACTTGTGACCTATGGAGCAGCTGAGTGTTCTCAAGGTTTCCTACAGAATCATGTAGGAACTCACCTCCTACTACAGCCATCAGCGGGGAGCTCAGGTGAGTACAGCACCTCCTAACAGAAGGTCTGTCCCAGTGGTGGCTAAGCTTTTGGGGCTCCTGTGCCAAAAATTGCACGCATACTTGCGTGCCAGTACCCGGAAGGCAATGCACGTGGCCCCTCCACGGCCCTGCGTATGCACGCGCGATCCCCCCGCACCACCCCCTTACCTGCACTGCGCATGTGCATGCCTCCCAGCTGATTTTTGGCCCGTTTGAGGTCTTTTTCGGCCTCGAGGGAAGCCTCTGCAGCCTTTGCAGGGTGAAAAATGGGCCCATTTCATCACTTCCAGTATTTCCGGAAATACAGGAAGTGACAAAACGGGCCTGTTTTCCGGCCTACAAAGGTTGCAGAAGCATCCCTCAAGCCTCGAGGAGGCCAAAAAAAGGCCTCAAATGGTCCAAAAATCATCTGGGAGGCGTGTGCATACGCAGTGAGGTAAGTTTGGCTTGCATACCCACACAAATGACTCTGAGTGCCACCTGTGGCACGCGTGCCACAGGTGCACCATCACGGGTCTATCCGTTATCAGGATTTCTTTCTCAAGGGTTGGGAAAAGGCAAACACCCTTTGTTGGTGTTACGGACACCCCTCAAGCTAACAGCCGCAAGTGAGCTCAAAATTTATCTTGCTGAGTGAAACATTGGTTGTGTTTTGCCCTGTTTTACGATTGTTCTTGCCATGGTTGTTAAGTGAATCACTGCAGTTGTTAAGTTAGTAACACGGCGGTTAAGTGAATCTGGGTTTCCACATTGGCTTTGCTTGTCAGAAGGTCACACATGACCCCAGGACACTACAGCTATCATAAATGTGAACCAGTTACTAAGCATCTTGCCAGAGTATATTCATAGTGGAATAGAGCTTAGTAACCAGGTCAGCCAATGAGAGCTGAATTGGGGGCTGAAACTTAAGAGAGAGAATTGGGGAATGGTTTATCTCTGTGCTTAGCTCTAAAGTGAACTAGCTTGCTTGCTGAACAAAAGTGAAACTGAGCTCTGCTCTGCTCTGAACTGGAGCTGTAACATGTCTGCTTCTGTATCGTGCCCCTGTTAGAATCTGACTCTGAGGGAGAGGAAGAACAGCTGACAGGGAGTGAGAGTGTGGCTCCTGAGGTTGTGGAAGAAATTGGGGAAGGAAATAGGCCGGCTGGACATTCAGAAGAAGACCCAAGTTCATCCCCTCTTCATCCTAGGGCATGCAGGGAGGAACGGATAAGGGAGAAATATGAGTGGTATGGTCTATGTGGGAGGAAGGGGCCCTGATCCCCTTCATGGGCTGCAGCTGTGCAGACTGTTTAAAAGGACAAACTGCACATGACCCAGTGCTGGAAGCAAAGCGTGAAATAATTCTAGTCTTTCAGTTCTTATCTGAGTTTTGGCATCCTTCCCAGTATGTGTATTTTGATATCTGTGGATGTCTTCAAGCCCTTATCCTGCCTTGTCTCATAAATTGCTTCAGTGTGGTTTGTGTTGTTGTTTTTTCTATTTACAGTATAATTTATATGTATTTTGAGTTTGAACAGCATTTTTTCCTTTTCGCAACTGTTTGTGGGGGAGTTGTTTTCTCCAGTCAATGATAATTGGACCTTTGAAGCCAAGTTGAAGGAATTAAAAGGACTTCACCTGCTTTTGCGACTTAGTTGCTTTTGTATCCCACCTTGGGTCATCACATTTTGTTTGTGTTTGCTTGTTACCTTTCCACATTGGAAGCATTAACTTATTTTATATAAAATAATGCAGTTTAATGAATCCTGCTGAGTCAGTCATCTGTGTGTTTTCTGGACTTGAATTTATGCTGCAAACACTTTTAACACATCTGAATTTTGATCACGTGATCATGGGGATGCTGCAACCCTTGTAAGTGTGAAAAATGGTCATAGGTCACTTTTTCCAGGGCCGTTGTAACCGAATGGTCAGTAAATGAACAGTTGTAAGTTGAGGACTACCTGTGTTGTCTTCCAGAAAGATACTGTGGAGAATCCCATAATTAGGGCCTTCAGCAGCATGCAGCCACTCCTGGCTGACCTGTCATGCCCTTGGTGGAGGCTGACTCTGAGGGACAGGAGGAACAGCCGACAGGGAGTGGAAGTGTGGCTGCCGAGATTGTGGAGGAGGCTGGGGAAGGGCAGAGCCTGACTGGGCAGTCAGAGGAAGACCCAGGCCCATCCCTGCTCCATCCTAGGGCATGTAGGGAGGAGAGGATAAGGGAGAGGTGTGGTCTACTCGGGAGGAGAGGGCCTTGATCCTCTTCATGGGCTGCAGCTGTGACAACTGGATAAGAGGATGGGCCTGCGTACTGGCGAGTGCTGGAAACAAAGCGTAGAAATATCTCTAGTTTATGGTTCCTCTCTGAGTTTGGCGTCCTTCCCAGTGTCTGTTCTGTTATCTCTGGATGTCCTCCAGCCCTTATCTTGCCTGGTTTGTGTTGTTTTTTACTCTTTATAATTTAAATGGAATTTCATCCTTCTTGTAACTGTTTGCGCAGGAGTTTTTTGTCTCCAGTCAAGGATATTTGGAGCTTGGAAGCAAAGTGAAGGAATAAAAGGGGATTCACCTGTTTTTTGTGACTGTGTTTATTTTGTATCCCATCCTGGGTCAGCACATGACCATAACAAGAGGTTTTGATCTGTGGAGATTGTCAATCATCCGCGTGGTAGTCCCCAAGGTACTTTTTTTCCGCAAAAGGCAACTAGACCTTCTTGTGAGTTCCACACACCCCCTTTGAAAACACTTTGCTTCTCATTTGCTCAAAACTGGAAACAGGACACTATCCCTTCCAAGTCAGCAATAATAAAAAAGATCCTCGAATGTGCTAAAATAGACAGGTTAACAATGATATTAAAAAATAAAGAAGAGATACTGTAAGATATGGAATGTTTGGTACGAGTGGTTAGAAAGAAGACGCAAAGGCAGCCATCGACAGCAAAACTGAGAAAGTGTTAATTAATGATGTATATATATGTATATACATACATACATACATATATATATAGATACGTTAATAATTTTATAAGTTAGATCGAGAAATAAGAATATAAGTGAATAAGAATGGAGAAGTAATTTATCTAGTTTTAGACTTTATTAATTAGTGTGAACACCATTAGGGAATCGTAGTGTCTTTTTTAAAATGTTGAAATGTTGAATAAATAAATTTAATAATAATAAAAAAGAAAACGTTTCACTTCTCATCCAAGAAGCTTCTTCAGTTCTTCAGAACCTTTGGTTCTGAAGAACAAGAGGTCCAGGCTTGGTTCATAAAGTTGGGAGGTCAGGAAGAGAGCAACAAATCACTTCTGTATTGTTTGCACAAGATAACTTACAAGAAGCCCAAACTTCAGGGAAGCTTCTTTGCGTACCTCCTGAGGGCCACCTGACTTAGTTGATCTAAGCAGGGCAGTCCTGACCTCTGTAACCTTTGGACAAGCAGAGTCAATAATAGGGAAGCCAGATTCATTTACCAACTGACTTAACAGCGGTAGTGATTCATTTAGCAAGAACAGTCGTAAAATGGGGCAAAACCAGAGGTGGTCTTCAGCCGGTTCTGACCAGTTCTGGAGAACCAGTAGTGGAAATTTTGAGTAGTTCAGAGAACCGGCCAATCCCATCTCTGACTGGCCCCGCGAACCCCATCTATTCTCTGCCTCCCATTGAGTCCCAGCTGATCGGCTGGGTCTTCTTTGGTTGCCCTGCAGAGGAGAACGGAGCTGGAAAGCAGGTTAGTGGGATGGAGTGGGGAGGGAATGGGGATTTTGCAGTATATCCTTCCCCTTCCATGCCCACCAAGCCACACCACATACACAGAACCGGTAGTAAAAAATTTGAATCCCACCCCTGGGCAAAACTCACTTAAATGCCTCACTTAGCGATGGAAATATCGGGCTCCGCTGGTCGTAAGTCAAAGACTACCTTTACCATTAGTTAGCATTGTTTCTGGGCTAGTGGATGGTTTTGGTGCCTTCCCGCTGGGGGCTGCCGATTAACGAGTGGTGGTTCTTCCTTTCTTCAGGCTACCTCCCTGCTTTTCAGGCTTCCCCGTGGAATGAGTTTTCCATGCAAGGACCATCCTTCACCCACTCCTTCTCCTCCCCAATACCATTTTCCGGCTTGGCGACGATCGCGGGGGGCTCTGCCCAGCAGGCACCCTTTGCCCTGAACCAGTCCCTGCCTGCCAGCTCCTGCTTCCTCCAGCTGCCAAAGGGCCCCGGGCCTGGTGCCACCTTGCTGTTTACCACCAAGCCAGTGGTGCCAATGAATCTGGAGCCCCCGTCTCAGCCACTGCCCAAGATGCTGGCAGAAGAGGACTCGGATGCTGACAATGGTCCTCAGGAGATGGAGAGTGAGTCACCGCCACGTTCGTGTGTCTGATCCAAAATAAAGACAGTCAGGATTTGGGGATTCCAGGAAAGAAGCCTTAAGAAAGAGCAGAGCATTTGGGAGGAAACCAAAGCTGCTTCTCTGGCAGAACATAGAATAACAGAGTTGGAAAGGACCCCCTTCTAGGCTGGAGCAGGAGGCCTCATACCAGTTCAGACAATTGACTGTCCAGTCACTTCTTAAAAGCCTCCAGTGATGCAGCACCCACAACTTGTGAAGGTCACCTGTTCCGTGGGTTGATTGCTCTCATTATTAGGAATTTTCTCCTTACTTCTAGGTTGCTTCTCTCCTTGGTTAGTTTCCTTTCCTTGTTTCTGCTTTTTGGTCCTTTGGAAAATAGTTTGACACCCTCCACCCATCTTAGTAGCAGCCCCTCAAATATTGGAAGACTGCTATCATGTCACCCCTAGTCCTTCTTTTCATTAGACTAGACAGACCCAATTCCAGCAACCTATCCTTATATGTTTATCTATCATCTATCTATCTAATCTCTCTCTTTCTCTCTCCCTCCCCCCCCTCTCTCTATATATACATATATATACATACATACATATATATATATGTTTATATATATGTTTACATATATGTTTATATGTTTTCCTAAGTTTTCACGGGTACTTACATGTATGGTTTTCAGCTTTGTTCGGGTATTTCCCCACGTCATTATAGTTGTGCTTTTAAAGTTGTAGCAACATTTCAGCAGAATCTCATCTGCCATCATCAGGCTTCTGTATTGTGTCCGTCTGTGAGTCAGACTTTTACAGTGGTTTAAGTTTTAAATTTGGGGCTAGCCTACTGCTGTGCCAGAATGGTTTTTTCTTCATCCTGATTGGTTGGGAGTCTTGGTCTGTGTTTATTGGTCTTGGAGTTTGCTGTGTTCTGCTTGATTGGTGTTTCTAATATCTTCTGTCTGTTTTGTGGCTCTTTTTGTGTCTTGATTGGCTGGCAACATTGTGTTCCTGTATCGGAGGCCTTTAGTGCAGCTTGGCTCCAAGTAAATGGACGGCTATCATTTGTTAGGAAGCTAGGTTTTATCTGGGTGCCTGGTTGGGGTGGAGAACGAGAGAGCACGGGGCATGTGTTCTGCAATGATGAACCAAAGGAGGACACCACATAAGAGGGCTTTGTGGACAACCCAAGCATCAGATTAGCTCCTAAATGACCTTTTGTGTTTGGCGCGCTGACAGTTTGATTGCATGTTGCTTTTGACTCTCTTCCCTCAACCCAGACAATGCCTTCACAAGACTGACCTGACTCACTGATCCTTATCTTTTCAGATTTCTCCGAAGGCAGCAAGATAGGATTCAACTTTTCTCCTCGTCAGGCGAGAGATGAGAAAACAGCCTGATTCCCGTTAAGCCGTTCTTGGCAAGATCAACAGAAACACGATATGCTTTGAGTGTAAGCGTCTTGGAAAACCGAACAGAAGGAAAAATACTAATATTGTCACTACAGGACGTGTTCTTATTGTTGCTGCTAAGGTTATTATTTATTCTTGTGGTTGCCCTTATTATCTGCTGAGATAAAGAAGCGGTAATAAAGCAGATCTAATTCTTTCCTTTACACACAAGAATTTATTTATACGCTGTTCTTCCAAATGACTTTTAGACCCTGATGAGGTTTCCAAAGGGCCTACTAGGTTCAGTTTAGTTTATTACAGTCAGAGACCAGGGACCAGAACAGAATAAAAACACTCAGTAAATGAACAATTAAAAAATCTAGAATAAAATAATAACGGATGAAATCTATGATCAGATCCAGTCTGCCAGTTATATGTGATCTAACTTATACCAAAATTACAATCCATAAATTGTGTGGCCTGTCATTGTTCTGACTTAGGCTTCACAAAATCACAAAGCAGACTCTTCCTCCCAACAAAACCCCTTTTTATTAAGCTAATGTTAATTCCTATCATTCACATTCAGCAAAGTCCCAGCAAACAGTCTTTCAAAGGTGAGTTGCAACCACAGACCTTATCAGGCTTGGAGAGTTGCCAGGCCAATAGCTTCCAAGCGCAATGCTGTACAAGAAAATACTTGGCAAAGAGTCTTTGTGAGTCACAAACAAATCTTCACTAATTAAACGAACTAATTGTCTCCTGCAAACACCACTCTCCTTTCACTCCTCTTTATTCCCTATGGGAGGGGCCATTCACCGTCCACCTGTGCCTTTACTCCTGAGTCAACCCTTGTTCCTTAGCTGTTCCATTCTCCTGGCAGCTCTGCACATGTGCACATCAGGAACAGGCTCCAGCTGTTCTTCTGCCCTTCTGATCTCCGAAGGGAGCTGGTCAGACAACCCTGGCCCCATCTCCGCCTATGACGCAGAGCACTCTTCAGAGCCTGCCCCAGATTCCTCCCTAACCTCTTTACTTTCCGACTTTGCTGCCAGTTCTGCTGGTGGGCCACAACAGTTGTCAGTTTAATACTAGAAGGGAAAGGAATAAGCAGTGCAAAACATTTGTTGTATAACATAACTATGGTGGATTAGACATGTATTTGTGACGAATCCCTAGTGCTGCTGCACCGAATCTAGCCATCTGCCCTGTAGTAACGGACAGCTCGTCCTTAAACAGTCACTGGAGATAAGCAGAATGGCCAGAATACCTAGTGATTATTGGAAGAATGTGTTTTTTCCGAATCTCTGTGTTAAAGGAACATCATAGGAGTATGTGATCCAGGGGTGGGTTTCTACTGGTTCTGTCCACTTCTGTAGAACCGGTAGCTCTGAAGAGCAGCAGACATAGAACCAGTTCTGTGATGCTTTTGCCCACCCGCCCACCTGGGCTCTTACCTGACCTTTATTTCCTGATTTTTTCAACTTCAGCTGCCGTGCGAGGCACAGCTGCAGTTAAAAAAGCAGGAAAAGAGAGCTATTTCAAAGGCTGCTTCTCTGCACCCAGCATGCTAATGACGATTTACAGGCGTGCGGCTCACAGCAGGCAGGGAAGCTCATAAATCCCGAACTGGTAGTTAACCCTGTCGTATCCCACCCCTGATGTGATCCCATGGTCTCCACCTCTCCTGAGCCACAGAAACAGAGTCTTTCTGTCAATGGTATCCTTTTATACTTGCCCTAGAGGATGGCCAATGGAAGTGCATGGCACTGTGTGAGAGAAAATGCTTTCCGATGGTTTAAAGGGCATAAACAACAGCCCTCCAACTTTTGGGCACCGGGGACCAGTTCCATAGAGAGAGGTTTTCCTGTGGACCAGAGGGAACGTGGTTTCATGTCCTGCCTGCATCCCGTGGATGGGGATTGTTTGCATGGCCTGGTTTCTGGCATGCCATTGACCGGTGCCGGCCCACAGACATGAGGGTTGGGGACCCCTGCTCTAAAACGATGGCCATCAAGATGGTGGCCATCAAAGCTCCTGTTCTGACCCAGGCTTCATCAAACGCAATTAAACACAAACTTGTTTTCAAAGCAAAACCTATTTTATTGCAACGCTGGAAATTACTTTCATTCCCAGCCAGAACTAATCTTAAACAGTTCCCCAAGATAAGCCCACGCCTTTCAGTGCTGTGGAATGCTGCCCAAAACAGAAGTATTCAAATTAATTATAACAAAAACCAACCGAAGTACCAGAAAAAACCAACCAGTTTATACAGAGCTTCAAGGAGGACTCGGAATCTATTGGACTACTTTGCTTCCTGCAAAGAGTTCGTCATTGAGGTCTGACTTTTATCCCTTATGGGAGGGGCAATCACCCCCAGCTTTACTCCCGAGTCACCCCTTTGGTTTCAGCTGCTCTCGCCTTCTAGCAGCTCTGCATGCACACACGCTGGGAACAGGCTCCCCTAGTTCCTCTGCCTTGCTGCTGCCAGACTCTGAAGGCTCCAAAGGCAGCACCCCACTCACAGATGGTCCTGGCCCTATCCCTGCATCGGACACAGGACCCTCGTCCAAGTCCTCCCCAGACTCCCTGGCTGGTCCCCTTTCTTCCTCACTGTCCGACTCCACTGCCGTCTGCACCGGCTGCCAGCAAACAACAACAGCTCCATCTATTTGTTCAGACCTTGTGAACACCCTTGTTGGTTATGCCTGAAAAGAGAGGTATGAAACTGGTTCTGCTCGTAATAGGCAGAGAGGTGTATTTTTCTACCACTGAAAGGGGGATTTCTCTTCCCTACTGCGCTCTCATTCAAATCTTAACTCTGGCCTCTAGTTTCCTGTTCCTGAATAGCAACAGAAATATCTAACTGAAATCTCTGACTTCTCATTTTTTTTGCGAAGCTCAGTGTCTCTCGCTAAAATTCCTTGTGATCAAAATTCAGATCCTTTGGCCACTGGTTCATACTTATGACGGCTGCCCAAATTCTGTGGTCATGTCTGATCTCCTTTGCTTGACCTTCTGACCAACAAAGTCGATGGGGAAAGTCAGACTCACCGAGGAACTTCGCTGCTAATTTAACCACGGTGGTGATTCACTTAGCGACTGTGGGAAGAAAGGATGTAAAAGGGGACAAAACTAACTTAACAAAGGTCGTGCTTATCAACAGTAATTTTGGGGCTTAGTTTTCATAATCAATTGATTACAGGTAGTCCTCCACTTATGACCACAGTTGTGCCCCAAATTTATGTGGTTAACTGGGAAATTTTGTTAAGTGAGTTTTGCTCCATTTTACGACTTTTCTTGCCATATTTGTTAAGTAAATCGCTGCCGTTGTTAAATTACTAACACTCTTATTCAGGGAATCTGGCTTCCCCATCCTCTCACTCTCTTTTCTTTTTCTGTCTCTCTCTTTTCCTCTTTTCCTTTGTTTTTCTCCCTCTTCTTTTTCCCTCTCTCCTCTCTCTCTTTCTCTTTTTCTCTCTGTCTTTCTCTTTCCTCTGTCTTTATTTTTCTTTCTCTCTCTCTCTTCTCTTTCTGTCTCTCTCTTGTTCTTTCTCTTTTTCTTTCTTTGTGTCTTTCCCTTTTTTCTTTCTCCTCTCTTTCTCTCTGCTTTTCTTTTTCTTTTTCTTTCTCTTCACTCTTTGTCTCTTTTCTTTCTCTTTTTCTCTCTCTTTGTCTTTCTCTCTTGTTCATTCATTCTTTCTCTTTCTGTCTTTCCCTTTCTGTCTTTCCCTTTCTGTCTTTCTCCTCTCTCTCTCTCTCTCTGTCACTGTCTCTTTTCTCTCTCTCTCTTTTCTTTCTTTTTTTTAAAAAAGGGAAGAAACTACTTTCCACTTAGAAAGGCCCGAATGTGGAGGAAATAAATTTCAGTGGCAGCTTTTCACAGCAGAGGCATCACCCCAGAGGACGGAGCTTCTCTGAAACGCTTACGAGCACTCTTTCCAAATCATGCACTCAATCAACCTCCAGCCTGCCAGGATCCAGGTTATCTAGAAAGCAAAAGGGGAATAACTTGATCTGATTTGATATCTTTAATACAATTAGGCTGCATTACTTAACAGGCAATTAAATCTCACTGAACTTAGTGGACTTTGCCTGCCAGTGCAGAGGACTGCATGCTAAATAAAAATAAAAATAACTACATTGACATTTTTAATGTACTCAGGCACAAGGTTTTGCCACAATAGTTATAAGCAATGGGATGAAAATGCTTGGTGAGGAAAAACATAGCACAAGACCACAATTGAGCCCAAAATTTCTGTTACTAAGTGAAACATTTGTTTAGTGAGTTTGCCCTATTTTACGACTCTTCTTGCCACAGTTGTTAAATGGATCACTGCCGTTGTAAGATAGTAACATGGTTCTTAAGTGAGTCTGGCTTCCTCGTTGCTTGTGAGAAGGTTGTAAAAAGGGATCACATGACCCCTGGAGACCGCAACACAGAAGTGGCATTCTACCGGTTCGGCCCGGTTCACACGAATCAGAAGTAAAAAATGTTACCGTTCAGCTGAACCGATGTTTCTTTTCTTTTTCTCCCAACAATCAGCTGTTCCGACGATCAGTTGTGCCAGGATCCCCCTCACTGTCCTACTGCTTCGGCCAGGAGGCTTCCCCGAGGCCCAGGAGGCCAAAAAATGGAGCACAGGGGGAGGTGCTGCAAAAAATAATATAAAAGCCACACCCACCCAGTCACATGGCCACGCCCACCTAGCCACACCCACAGAACCAGTAGTAAAAATATTTGCATCCCACCGCTGCTGCAACCGTCATAACTATGAGCCAGTTCCAAATTTTTACCATGGTGGATGCGGCGACGGTGGTGTGAAAACTGGTCATAAATCACTTTTTTTCAGTGCTGTCGTAACCTTGGAACGGTCACTAAATGAACTATTGTAAGTTGAGGACTACCTCTACAATATGTGCCATAATTCAAAGATCTTGAGAAGTTCCTTTTGGCTTCAACACCTTCGCCTTCGTTTGAAATGGGTTTCTTTAGCAGAAAAAATAACATT